GCCACTCACAAAAGCGCCGCGTGTCCTCCTTCCACGTGCTGGGGATTCTTTCCTCTCTGAGACTCGACCAGATCCGCAATGAATGTAGAGCTGTCCCTGAAATACGAGGTGGTTGAGTCCACGACCACACCAGTCTAATAGCTTTCATCGACCAACCCCTCGAGCAGCCAGTGCTTGTCTATCACTACCGAATGTGCTCTTCCTCGTTCTCTACCTTCTTTCCCTCATTGCAGATGTTCGGTCCCGTTCGACCGGACCGCTAATCTATTTTGTTTGACTAACCCGACGAACCGGTCTAATATATAATATCACATATCACATACTACATATAAATTTTTTTCTCATTAATTTTAAAATATTAAACGTATTATCAAAATACGTTTTGTTTTTTAATTTTATTTTTTAAAACGTATTATGAGAATACGTTTTTATACTATTTTTTCAATTGTTTAAAAAAATAACATTTTACAAATATAATTTTAAAACAAATTACCATAATACGTTTTTTCTTTTAAAAATTTTAAATAAAAAAGCGTATTCAGAGAATTACATACTTTTTATTTTTGTCCACAATTTTTTTTTTCTTTTTATTTTTGTCCAATTATTTTTTTTATTTTTATATATATATATATATATATAAACTACCCATGAGATATCATTTCTTTGTTCTTTCAATTTTTTTTCAACAAAAACGTAGTGGTATATATTTACGAAATTTTCTAGTTTCTAGAAAAAACAACAGGTAACCTAAATCAAAAGAAAGTCTAAAAGGTACCGAACGCGTGGGCGTCGGTAGACCTCACGAGATTCGTCTTTATCTTCTCCACCCACTCAAAGGAAAGGGACAGACAACTTGCCGTTGCCGTATACCATTTGTGCGCTAAACGTCACCCGTCCACGTGGCGTATTCTCATTGGATATTAGCCTCGCCTAAGTCGGCATCTCACGCTATTTATATCCCACGGTCCTTAAGACCTCTTCAATTCCATATCGACTACCGCTGAACACAAGTCCTCTATCCTCATTCTCATCATCTTCTAGGTTGCACACTTTTGCCAAGGTGCGTGAATTACTTCAAACCCTCCTTCCCTTCTTGAATTATTTTTGTGTTTTTTGGTTATGATCGAGATCCAGTAACCGATCATTATGGTTTTTTTGTTCGTTATTCACATGTTAATTGAGATCATATGTTGTTTGATGGTTTATGTTCATGTTAACTGAAGATTTGTTTAGATCTGAGATTTATCTGTTGTTTGATGGTTTTTGTTCTTGTTAATTGAAGATTTGTTTAGATCTGAGATTTATCTGTTGGTTGATGGATTTGGTTCTTGTTGATCGTATCTGTTGTGAGAGCTACATAGTTTTGATTAGTTTTGCTAGATCTGACGTGAAATTGAATAAAGGTTTGATTTTGTGTTCCAATTTTTGTTGGATCTAATTTTCTCATCCGAGATATGATTTTGCTGATGAAGATCGGTAAGGAAGCCTTTTTTTTTTTTTTTTATTGTTTGCTATTTGATATTGATCTATGCTATCTGTAGTTGTGTAATGCTATTGGATGATTTGATTTGTCTGACAACCTTTTTTGAACACTATGCAGATGCAGATCTTCGTGAAGACCCTCACAGGCAAGACGATCACCCTTGAGGTGGAATCATCGGACACCATCGACAACGTCAAGGCTAAGATTCAGGACAAGGAAGGGATTCCCCCGGACCAACAAAGGCTCATCTTCGCCGGGAAGCAGCTTGAGGACGGCCGCACCCTTGCTGACTACAACATCCAGAAGGAGTCAACTCTCCATTTGGTGCTCCGTCTCCGTGGTGGCATGCAGATCTTTGTCAAGACTCTGACCGGCAAGACCATCACTTTGGAGGTGGAGAGCTCGGACACCATTGATAATGTGAAGGCCAAGATCCAGGACAAGGAAGGGATCCCCCCGGATCAGCAGAGGCTCATCTTCGCCGGAAAGCAGCTCGAGGATGGCCGCACCCTTGCTGATTACAACATCCAGAAGGAGTCGACTCTCCATTTGGTGCTCCGTCTTCGTGGTGGCATGCAGATCTTTGTCAAGACCCTGACTGGAAAGACCATTACTCTTGAGGTTGAGAGCTCGGACACCATTGACAATGTGAAGGCCAAGATTCAGGACAAGGAGGGCATCCCTCCGGACCAGCAGAGGTTGATTTTTGCTGGTAAGCAGCTCGAGGATGGTCGCACCTTGGCCGACTACAATATTCAAAAGGAGTCGACTTTGCACTTGGTCCTTAGGCTGAGGGGTGGCATGCAGATCTTTGTCAAGACTCTCACTGGGAAGACCATCACCTTGGAGGTGGAGAGCTCTGATACCATTGACAATGTGAAGGCCAAGATTCAGGATAAGGAGGGTATTCCCCCGGACCAGCAGAGGTTGATTTTTGCTGGTAAGCAGCTTGAAGATGGTAGGACCCTAGCGGATTACAACATTCAGAAGGAGTCCACGCTTCACCTTGTGCTTCGTCTCCGTGGTGGTTTCTGAAATTCGAGCGGGTCTGTTTCGATTGTGTCCTAGTGGAGGTTTGTCGTATGTGTGTCTTGTGAGTCTGGATCTTTGGATGCTTTGTGTTCATTTTAAGATTGTGCTATGTTGGATTAGCCATTGTTTAACAATGGTGGCTAATTTGTGGTGTCATGCCTGCCTTTCCTATTTTCTGTGCGTTTGTGAACATTTATAATCTCCACTTGAAATAATATGTTGCTGTTGGGTTAGATGAAGATTTTAATATGCGGGTGAGGAGTTTTTAATATCAGCTTAGTATCAGTGTGATGGCTTTAATTTGACTTTGATTTGTGGTGGTGTTAATGAGGATGTTTGATGTGATTCTGATTGACTTTTTTGTTTGAGAACCTTTTCACAACTGAGTGTTGTGAGAGGCTTTGCTGTGTCTGAATGTTCCATCCCTGCTGGTGTCCCTGTTAGGCTGTTACTGGCTATGATTATGATGAAGTAGTTTTACCCAGTGAAATGATAATTATGGTTCAGGCTTACTAGAACGGCTAGTTACTAATGGAGTGCCTTGAAAGAGATCAGCCGAGCCAATATACATAACTCACAGGCTAGATGAATTTCGATGATCATTCGATTGTGTACTTATGTATCAAAGTGAACTAGAAGTGTCGAAATTTCGTTATGTGATCGTGGTTCCCAATTGCTA